GACAAAAGGAATCAAGTTTCAAACACCTTGTACCACAGAAAGGCTTGGAAATCCTGAAACACACAGCAGCAAATAGCAAAACTGCTACGAACTTCAACAACCCAAGAGTTCATTGGTAGTCTCTTGTTACAATAAACACCTGAAGACTATAATTTCTGGATGCATAGCTTTCCCAGTTCCAGTGTATGTTGTCATTCCTCCTGACAGTTGACATGTTCTGATACACCATTTCTTTCTAACACAAAGACAGCTCCTTTCTCTACACCTGGAAAATCTTTATCTTACTTCTTTCCTGTCCCATGCCCTCCTGCCAGCTCCATGGCAAAGATCCAACAGCAAAGGGTTTCATATCTCTCTTTTCAGACTGATGAGACTTTAGTGGTCTTTCATCACTCAACAAATGAAGAAAAGCTTTTTATGAAAGCTGAAATACCTATTTAAGATCACCTGCACAATGCAGATTTTTTTGTGTAATCATTAGTAATTTGTGTAATGCAGTGTTTCTTGCCATAAATAATCTGCCCTGCTACGCCAATAGACCACCTTTGTCTGACCATAAAAGATATTTAAAAAAAAAAAATTAAAAAAAATCTCCAAATAAAAAACCAAAAGCAAGACCATGGGGTAGAAGCTCCCCACTGAAAGCAGCATCTTCTTTCTTCTCTCAGAGGAAACAGAGAAAGGTTTCAGAGTATAGAGATATGCAAACCAATCCTGGTCTCAATGGTTTCAGGACCATTTCAGTGCTGTTCAAAATAGCTGCATTCTTCATAGCCACAGCCGGATGCAGAGCCAGCACAAAGATCTTTCTGACAGTTCATATTATCATGGACAAAATCAGTGCACGTATCACTAAAACGAAAGATATGAATGCACTCATAAAACTGCAAGCTTATACAAATAGCATTCATTTACTCACTGCGTTCAGAAGCAGATTATTTAAAGAAATGGAGGGTAATGATAGCAAGACTTTAAAATGATAACTAAGCAGTACCTTGGCCTCAATGACAACACTAAATTACAGCAGAAATCATATAAAGGAAAAGGTGACCCACCTCTCCATTAATCATAGAATGGCAAAACCACAGAGGTTGGAAAGGATCTCCAGAAGTCATCTAGTTTGACCTTCTGCTCAAAGCGGGTCTGTTGGATCAGGCTACCCTAGTGGTGAATGATTAGCTTACTGGGGCACAATGGAAATTAGAGATAGCTAGACAAGTAAGGAGGTTAGTAGTTTGCTATAGAGTCAATTGTAGCAATATGGGGGAAAATGGAAAGGAAACTGAAAAACTGCTAAAAAAAATGCATCAGACTATGGCTACAAATAGAAGTTGCAGGTGACTACACACCATGTATCTTGCTCCCATGTTGTCTTACAACATAGGTGACTGGAGGAGTTGTGCTAAGGGACATCTGCTACAGATCTTCACTTTCCTTCTTCCCTGTGGTCAATCAAAACTAAGAATACCCACAACTCCACTTCCAGGACTCACTCATGGCCAGATTCCTCATCGTGAGACTATAAGCCTCTCATAAGTACTTGTCACATGTATATGACTCTTATGTTCCTGCTTCACGACCCCTAACACTAACAAAATGAATTATAACTATTTTTTTGTAATTCAAAAGGTGACTCTTCAATTTTATCCAGACCTTGAAAACAAGTCTATTTGTTTCTTTTGATATCATCAAGCTGGTTAGCAGAAATAACAAGAGTTCATAACATGTGGATTTCCTGGTATTTTTCATCTATAGCTTCTGGTATACTTTTACGTGCTTTTGCAAGAGAGAGAACACAGCCATTGCTTCTATAGTTCTTCCTGCTGCACCTGCAGTTGCTGACTTCGTACAAAACTCTGTTTTTTGCAAATGATGGCTGTATATGTAAATACAGGACCTTCAGTAATCAACTTTGGAATAGCGTTCAATAAAATCACTTACAAACAGCCCTGTTACACAAGTGAAGCCTCCTGATGCGCAATTGACCCCATGGTATATTAGAGGGTTGCAACTCCTGCTGCTCAAACAAAACTTTTTTTTCAGCACACTACTGCAGTTCATTGGTGTATTTTGTAAGTGGCTTATATTGCTCTCTAGAATTAACAGAGGGATCACTTTGAGATCTTCAGGTGAAACATACTATAGAAATACAAATAAACTACTAGCTTATTATTTCATGCAAAAGCTGCTGTATAGCTATACCTAGCCATTACGTCTACTTTCCATGCCTATCAGTATGCACTCAGAGACTGATAGATGATGGTTTTATAATTCTTAAACACTTTTTCGATATCCTAAACCTATAGAGCCTTCAGACATTTTGTTCAGGAGATTTGGAGTATTTTGCTACTTGAAATAAAAAGAGCTACAATTGGCACGGTTTTAAATCCAAACATTTAAGGCATTGATTTTACTTAGTTTTTCTAAAGTAACTCCTTTAGGAAACTGAGTGCTACACTGCTAATTTTAACTTTATTCATTTTAAAGTGCTCAAGGATACTAGCACAAAGGACACTGTAAAAATTGCATTGTGCTGTATTAGGTTTGAATAGGATGAGTTATAGAACTGTTTGAGACTTAGAATTTGCAGAATTTACTTATTACAATGCTTATAATACTAAAGGTTTCTTATGTATGCATTTTATGTTTGGGATTTTTTTCTTAATCATCATGATTCCTAAAAAAATATCTACTGTGCATAGTCTGTCACTAAAGCTTTATAATATTTTATAGTGCAATACAGCTGCATGAAAATGTTTTCTAGATGTTGTTCACACCTACTTAAATATAATTTAAAATGCAAATGTTCATTGCATAAATTTGTCATGCAACAATTCTTTAAAATATTTCCATATGATTAATCTGCAATGGGATTTTTCTTTTGCAACACAATAAATATGCTCACCTCCTATAGATATGAGTACTGAAAGCAAAAATCTGTCTGAATATTACATAGTGAGAGTAAGTGGATGTGTAATCAGAGTAAACAATGAAAAATGAAATCATTTTTATGTCTTTTGAATTTTAAAACATTTTTATTCTAAGAGATTTGGACATTTTTGGTCTACTACGGCACAATTAAATGTACAATAAAAATGTAACAAACGTGCTCATTTTTGTTTGATAATTATAAAAATTATTCAGGACTATATAGTTGATTTCAGTAAAAATTGGTTCATATTACATTAATATTTGAAGCAATAATATAGTTTTATAAGTGTATTTTCTTATAAGTATTCTTTAAAACACTACATGTCAGAGTGTGAAAATGTGAAAGATATTGCAAGGATTCTGATTTTTCCTCTCTGTTTTCCAGTGATTTGCCTCAATCTCATGAGTAATCTAGCATTCACTGCAAGTGATAAATATCTAACACAAGCAGGCACAGAATTATTTTAAAAGAAATAAATAAAATTTGAAAAATACCATGAATTGAGAGGGAAAAACAATCAAAATTATTCAAAAAGGCAAACATTGGCTTTGGAAGAATAAATGGAACATTCCTTAACTGCTTTTTCAAGACCAGTGGAAAATATTCCTCACACACACAGTGGAGCTTTATTTTTCCCCTGCCTCTCAACAAGGTATAATTTGTGAAGGAGAAGCTGGTGTAGAGAAAAACAAGGTGGATGAACTTAAGCAACATTTTAATAGATATACTACCAAACTTCAGCAGGTCACTGGGGAGACTGATTGATGGAATGTATGTTATCACTAACATCAAAAAGAATAGATCTATCACAGAAAAGACACCCCAAACTATTTAAAAATTTAAAACAATATCTATACCATTTTTATTCAAAGGCTTTTTGGAACAATTGTGTTTGGTTGCACACTTCTTTGACAATAGAAATATCCCCACAAACCCTGCCTTCATGGTCAAAGTACTAGTTGGGCTTTTAGAGTTCATGTATAACCACATTTGAGATGTGCTTCAGTTCTGTTAAAGATATATGTGCATTAGTGATTATAAGCCATCCTAGTTTTAAAGGAAGAGGACAAAGCAAAGAGGCCACCCCAAAGCAAAAAAAAAAATCATAGCAAAGTCAGGCAATAATATACATTTTTACTTTTGTGTCATCTATATTAAAATCCATGTTCAGCACAATAAAACACGCACTGTACAATATTATGTTATCTGCCTGAGCCATATCTAAAAGAAATTGAAACCCATGGCCATCTTCTCATTGGTCTCCATATTTCTTGGAGCATGTCTTTTATATATTTCCAGTGTGTCCTTTGTTTTTATACTATAGATCCATTTTTTTCCTTCCTTGCTGAGCCTAGTGAAATTTGTGGTTTTATCATCACCCACTTGTTCAGGGCCAAAGTGCAGTAGGCACTTACTGAACAGAAAGAGACCCGTTGACTTGAATAGCACAGGGCCTCTAAAAACTTCCAGTTTGCAACACGTTTGTGGCAAAACATGGCCTCATTGATGTGCCAGGAAGAATGTAAGGCAGAAGTCAGCAGCAGGGAGGCAACACAAACCAGAAGTATCACCCAGTCATGTACGGGTATGTAGTAGCCACAACCTTCTGCTCTTCTGAGCTGAGAAGATAGGTAGACCAGACTTTCTGGAAGAGATAATAACTGCAAATTTGTTAAAATTCTGTGATAACCAGGAGGGGTAGTTAAGACCTGTGATGTGTTATACAGATTTAGCTGTAAAATAGTATGATTAATCTAAATTAACCTAACCTAATAAACTACTTGCTTTTCCAGCAGTGAAGTCTGAGTGGGTTAGAAAAGAAGAAAACTGTTTCACACTTCTTATAAACTGTACAATGGCTGCTCTTTTTATTTAGAAAATAGAAATTTACATACAAGTGGAAAGTGTTTCTCATCCCTTGGGAGAATAATTTTCATTAAAATACACTGAGTTTCCATTGAAAATTCAAAACTTCGTCTAGCAAGCATGAAATGCGTTTCTTTTTCCATGAAAGGACATTTAAGTATATTAAATTTTATTATAAGAGTTGCTTTTCTTGAACAAACATTTGTACAAAACAATCAATGTTTACAATAAAATCATTCATGTTGGCTGAATTTAGCATTTTTTAATATATGAATTAGGCTTGAAGTTTCATTTGTCATTTATTTTGAACTAGATTAAAACACATACCACTTTTACCCTTGGGATTAGGATACAATACTGTATCAGGATACTGTAACAAAATCATTGAAATATATTTGTGGTCAGAATTACTCAGAAAATTTCTCCCATGGAATATTTCAAAAAGGAAGTAAAATGTAAGAAATGGAAATATTTTCATTTGGAAATCCTGTCATAATATCTGACAAGAGCTGTGTTCCAAGTCTCCTTCACCAGGAATGCAGGGTTGCATGATCAAGATATTATACATCAAATAACAGCCTTACTTAGTTAATCTGACTAAAGAAAATCCCCAGAAGTTGTAATGTATCTGGGCAATCCAGCTACCCATTTCTTACTACAGAGACAGGAAAGATGACCTACTGCTCTTCTAATTTCCACAATAAAAGCACCAGAGTGGCAGCATGCCAGCTTTCTGGCATGTGGTTCAAGCACTGGTTTTAATAGAAAAAACAGATCTCTTCCATGAATAAAGAAATGGCTTTAGGTCACAAACTCAACTGGCCACTGAAAACAAAAACGAATAGTAAAACATCTCACACTCCTCTGACCCAAGACACTCTTCATAGTGAGAGCAGCAGTCCCATCCTCTAAAATAGGTTGCATATACTGCACCCAAAAGCACATATTTGTCTCCATGGACTCCCAAATATGTTGGGGTAGCTCATTCAGATATAGCTCTCCAATACTAGGTGGGATCAATGTCAGCTCTGATCTTCAGCCACACACTGTTCTAGTGAAAGAAAAGAAAAGAAAAGGGAAGAGAAGAGAAGAGAAGAGAAGAGAAGAGAAGAGAAGAGAAGAGAAGAGAAGAGAAGAGAAGAGAAGAAGAAAAGAAAAAGAAAAGAAGAGAAAAGAGAAAAGAAAAAGAAGAGAAAAGAAAAAGAAGAGAAAAGAAAAGAAAAGAAAAGAAAAGAAAAGAAAAGAAAAGAAAAGAAAAGAAAAGAAAAGAAAAGAAAAGAAAAGAAAAGAAAAGAAAAGAAAAGAAAAGAAAAGAAAAGAAAAGAAAAGAAAAGAAAAGAAAAAAGAAAAGAAAAGAAAGCAAGCCTTCCCTTTGGCTAGGAAGTTGCTTTTTCTCTCTCTTTCGTCCATACCTCCATGCTATTTCACAGAGTGATTGCTGGATCTCATTTAGGAGACTTTCACACCATTTTCTGAAGAGTGATGAAACGGAAATTTTCTGTCCTCTGTACTTCCATGCAACTCCCACTGAATTTCAGCCATCAAAGCTAAACTTAAGTTTTTTTAAGGAAAACAACAACAATTTTGCTCTGAATAGGGTTTTTGATGCGATTTCCACTTTCAGCCCAGTGAAGTAAATAACAAAATTATGTATGTACTTTTTCATGTATTCCTGCAATTCTAATTAATTTAACTGAAATCATATGTGAAATTTCAAGAAATTTCAGCCTGTGGTCTGTATTCACATCTCAAATAAAACACTTAAAATTTATATTGACTTCTTTGAAGTCAATGAAATCAATTCAGTGTAAATGACAACAAAGTCTACTTTATGACCGTAAAATTCTCCTAGTAGAAGGACTCCATCTGTAATTGTTCTTTAAGTCACATTACAGTGTAGGCATAAAAATTTCTTGCAGAAACCCACTTTTGAACTTTGTGTTTTCTTTAAATTGCAACCTTAGTGAAAGATTTTTTTCATATTTTCCCATCATAACATGCATAAAAGAGATGAATGAATCAAATTTCACAAGTGTAAGTCAGCAATTATATTTTAAAAACTTTCAATATCACGAATCAGCTATTCGTACATCTATACAATTAAAAAATAATAGAAAATGGCAGCAAAGATCTGGAGAGATCATCTAGTTCATCCTTTACCCCAAAGGTAAAGGGGTCAGCACTTGAGAGATTAACTAGGATACACAATATAGCTTTGTTTTTACCCACTACAATATGAAGTACTCAGAATATCCCATCTGCAATATTTTCGGAAGTCCAGTCCGGGAGCCCAGATATATAAAGGCAAATGAAATAAGAGTTACCTAAATGTTTGTATGCTCAACTTCAGCTGGAAATTATTTATATTTGCACATAAGGCCTCACCTAATATCCACTAAAATCGATATGGATCACTTTACCATTAACTTTCATGGGCTTTAGAGGAATCCCTTATCCAACCCCTTACGTGGAATATTTATTTGCAAAATTGTAAACGTACAATGTTTCCTACAAACATGACTACACAAAACCCATTCACTTAAAAGTTTGATCCATAAATGGGCACAAATCAGCATAAATGTTTGAAGAAAATTTCTTCACCTAAATTGAAGCATCATTCTGAAGATCAGAACATATTAATTATATTCTATATATTACACTATAGAATATAAGGATGTTTTCCCCCTCTTCTTGCATACTTTTGTTGCATATAACTTCATACACCTGAATAACTATCAGGTTCTTCATGCGGTTCTAATAACAGCTCCTAACAAGGCTACAAGGACAACTCACATGAAAAATTTAGATCTCTACAGAGAACCTTTAAAAAACACTAAAGCTTTTTTTACTTGTTTCTTGAACAACAGCCTTTTACCATTCTGAGTATTTGCTACACAATGGAGATGTTAATAGTCACCCTCAGACTGTACTTTACCTTTTACTGTAAACCTCTTAGGCAGTGCATTTACATTTCATGTCCTTCCACAGTGCAGTTCACTTGGAGACAAAAGCAAGAGGAATTTGTTTCAGTTGAGCTATTCCTTGTTAACAGACACTTTCCAGCTCACTTGCAGAAGCTGCCAAAAGGGAAATCAAGGATTAAGATTAGCTCTTTTTTTTCCCCTAAGATTTGAAAGACCAGGAAGGTCATGGGGACTTTTTAAATTTATCTGTCATTGATTAAAGTGTCACTAAAGTATTTCGCAATTGATGGACTGTCAACAGTAGGACAGTCCTACACCTCAAATCCTCTAACTGTACAGTCTTTGAAGATGCCACCATTAGATCTTAAATTTCTCCTATTGGAAACTGCTTCCAAGGTTTACACTTTTCTAACCACTGCTATTGAATTTGTGTTGCTACAAGAAATAAAGACTAATTAAGTTAGTTAATTATGTTAGACTGGGCATTCTAGACACAGTACTTAAACTTTCAATTGTTTACATGCTGCTCAAATCAATTGTTATTATAGATGCGTATGACCAGGAAATGTTTTATCCAAATATTTTAAAATATAGTGCTAAAAATAACAATGGCTTTTTTTTTCTATGTTTTTGTACTCTCATATGTATCATAATGACTAAATTAAATATTACATAAAGACTTTAAAGATGATTATCACCTTGCAATACAGGTGCAAAATTGCTTTTAAGCAAAGGTGGACCTAGTCACGGATTCAAATCCTCACTATTAAGGAACCTATTGCATCAAGAACTTGTGATGAACTTTTTGGCTACCTCTTTACATTGCTGAAATGCTGTAAAGCATATAATAATTTTTTAATGCATCTTTCTACTCTATTTGCAGCCCCTGCGCAAAATCTCATCACAGAGGAACTGCTGATATTCATGGAGCCCAAAGATTCAATTATTTTTCTTGTTTTAAAATGGAGAAGTGAAGTAAATGTTCTCTCCAGCATAGACTTTGGCACTAGGTAAGCACAAAGTATCAACTCCTAGTGTGGTACTACGGCTGTTTTCACATTATATTCTCCAAATCTCAGAGTGTCCTGTTTCCAGGCCTTTTAGATTGCAAAGGGTGGTTCCTTGGCTAAAAGCTGTACCAAGGTTATAACTTAGAAAAGCACTTTAGTATTTACCAGGTTAAAACATACTACATATTACTTGAATTTACATTAAAATTTTCAAGATTATTAAGCAACAACAGGAGCAGAACTAGAAGATTAGTTAAAGGTGAAGGACAGAACCCTCTTGTGCCTCTCTCGTGTTTTGTAGGGGAGAATGTAATAACTATTCATTCTGTCCAGTATATGATTACCAAATTCTTTTTTATAGAGTGAACTATTATGAACTAATTTTGGATACATCTGTGAATATGTAGATTTTTAAAATATATATATACAAATTTTACGTAATATGATGGTGACAGTACTTGAAAAAAATAATAATGTATTCTTTGAAAAATATTGCAAGCAATTAATAGAGTATGTTTTCATAAGTTCTTCCAAGGTCTGGGACCAGATCATATAAGAAAGATTTCAGCAGTGGAAAATATTATCATTTGGCATATTTTATTTATCTTCCAAACTGGGATGTTGTTTTTTGTCTCTGGCAGAGGTTTGTACTGAGCACTACTGTCAACATTCCCACTAAGAAGAATACTACCAAAACAGATTTGGATTGTCTAAGACCTACACAGGGGACAAAGCTGCCTATGGGGGTCTTTACCTTAATACTGGCATTGGGCCTAAGCCTTGATTTAAGTTCCCAGGCAACAGATCTATTAAAGCTATATTACTAGGTTCACACTGCCCCTGAAAGCTTTATTAAATGATTATTTCACAGCATGGAGGGAAATCCATTGAAAATTAATATCCAGCCTCAGCCAGTCATGGCTCAAAGCTGAGACATGCTCTTTGTGTCAAAAAAAGTAGAATTTGCCAAATAAGAAAGTTCAAGTGAAATTCCTCTCATTAACTTTACTTTCCTAATTTGACTTCTCAGGCTATAATCAAGGAGGAGAAATGGACATTTCTAGAGTTGATGTAATCTTTCCTCTGTCTTAGGAGGCCAGTCTTGGGTAGGATACATTGCCATCTGGAAGTGTCCCACTGCTTCTGAAGACCACAGAAGTGTCCCTTCTGCCTTACCAGAGTGGCTGAAGTTAAAAAATATGAACCCCAGCTTGTGTGAAAAGAATAAGATTTTATGGATCCATCGGACCCATGGGATTCTGGCAGAAACGAAAAAACATCTTAAAAATATACAGGATTTAGTCTGTTAGTTTATCCTTTCTGTAGAAAACAATTTGAGACAGCTAATACCAAGTAAAATCATGCCCACACATATTTCTTCAAAAGAACTGTCCAGAAACAGTTAATTAGCTTCTACAGTGTTGCCACAGTCAGAATGTACATATTTTCTTGTATAAAAACACAATTACATGTTTTATGAAGGTGATTTTTTTAATCAACAGTTAAGACCTCTAAATAATTTAAAGATACAATTTAAAAGTTTGTCATTTTACATTATTACACTGTTAAGAAATGTAATAATTTGGATCACACAGTCCTAAAGTTATGAACAATTAAGTAAATGGGTAAGTTCTCATGCTGACTGCAATTAATTCGGAAGGTGAGGGATAAGAGCCCAGGCAGGCAGCTCCTATTCCTGTGAGCACCAGGTGGCAGTCCGGCTTTGACTGACAGGTCTTTATTTCCTCCTGCACTCCCCAGACCAAAAGCTTTTCTTGTCACAGTACTTGTCTCACTAGCCCCGTTCTGAAAGTCTTCTACACTTTTCTATCTGCTAAATAAATATATTCATCCTGGGGATTGATACTTTTTGCAGAGAATAAGATTAGTGTTTTTCATAAACACACTTAACACCTCAGTGACGCTAAAATGCCACAGAATTTCCCTCACACAAATCATGGTTTTACAAACTAAGCTCTGAATTTTGCTGGTAGACCAGACCGTACTAGCATGACCCAAAAGTTTAAACAACCTACAAAAGCATGTACAGGAAATATGAGGCATATAAATCTTTTATTTACTAGGTCACGATGTTTTTCACAGCACACATAACAAAGATTGGTCAAAAACTCTGCTACTCAAAATAAAAACCAAAAACAAAAATAACCCACAAACACCTAAAATCTTCACAGCTCCAAATTAACACTTAAAAAAATACTGCATAAGAGATAAGCATACGTTACAACACAGTACACATACATGTAAGTCAGGTTGAACTAGTGATGGTCAAAAAAGTCATGTTTTGTCTATGTAAGCTATTGCACCTTACGATCTGACAAGTTGAACTGATTTTATATACCTTTTTTTTGCTAACCTCTAGAAAAAAATATATTTTCTTACCTATTAAAAAAAACTTATATTACGATGTACACCAAATTTCTCAAACATTATGGGTACTACCCTACTTTGTTACTCATTATTGCATCTTTTTGGTTAGTCTGGTGATCCATTTAATGATTGAATTTTGTTAGCAATGCAGGTGAAAACAACAAAAAAAATTGAAGGAACAGTAAAAATCTTATAACCTCCCACATAGCGAAAAACATCTTAATATCAGAAAAACAAGTTTTATTAACAAATAGAAATGTTTCACTGGAAATTTACTGCTAAATTCTATCTATATAAACATGCAAGTCATTCTTACCCATACGAGCTTTTCTGATAAACCAAGAAGTTACTCTTCACCTTACAAAACTGTGTTCACATGTGCAGGTAGCTCAAGTTTCTAAAAAGGCCCAATAGTAATAATATTGTAAGTAATTTATTTTTCATTTGTCCATTTGGTAATCTGTTATTTGAACCACACTGTAATCCCTGTCCTCATCTTTATGGAACCACTGAGGGAATTTCTTGCATCTTCTTCAGAGCATACCTGAACTATTTCTGAAGCTGAGAAGACTGCATTTTAATAAGAAATTTTGTTACCAAACATTGCTGAAAACAAAAAAATACATGAATTTATACCCTGTGACAGTATACATGAAAGTGAAGCTACTGAAACTTGTGTGGTGGTTTGGTTGCTGGTTTTGGGGGTTTTCTTTTGTCAAAACGGTTTAACTGGTTTGGAGAGGTGTGACCATGTTTGTTGAATTATTAATTCTGTTACATTTTCAAAGGTTAAATTCAATAAGCAGCTATTATTCTAACAACTATTCACCAACAAACAACTCAAGCACTATTCAAATTGCAAAAAAGCAGAAAGCCTGTGGTTCTAATCTTGACCAGAGTACGGAAGTAGTTTACTACTCTTCTATCATACATACATTCATTTGGTTGCAGTGGATATATCATGAATATATCAAGAATTTTAACCTATGTTACTCATACACTTTTTCTAAATTCTTCTCCCCATAATTCTAAGTTCTGTGAAATGTCATAATTCTTGTGAGATTCTGCCCATAGTGAGAATACAGAATACATTTATAAAAATTACATATAATTCATCTCACAAAGAAACAAATTGTTTCTTCCAGAGTGCTCTCATGTGATTATATTTACTTTAGGGAGGTTTAAAAATTATAGACTGAGGACAACTTTAGTATGTTTTATTCTCTCTTTAAAATTCACCTGTGGAAATTTCAATGCGCACAGACTATTTTCTTTTTTTTTTTTTTTTAATGCTGTTGTGATAGCATGAAAGAGCTTTATAGCCTTAAGTGAGTCTACAAGGGAAAGCCTGTGATGCAGACTGTGTAAGACAACTGCTACTGTGGTATATAAATGCTGGTGGAGGACTCAAAGACAGAGGCCTCTAATGAAGGGGCAGGAACAAAGTCCATAAGGGATTTCAGCTATAATTATTTCTCAGGGAAGTGGGGACAATCTTTAAAGATCATATCTGCTCTTAAACACTTACAAAATAGCATATGATCAATAGTAATAGATTTAATACTAACTAGTTTTTGGTTGTAGCTGAGGTGGGACAAAGATCATACCTATGGCCCAATGACCACTGCTTAGCTGAGAGGCAATACATTGCTACTGTGACTCCAAAACTTTCAGTTTCTGTGTCCACACTCTAATTTAGCAGAGCACAATGTTGAGGTAAAGATTTTTTTCTCACATTTTGGTTTGAAAGTTGCA